TTTATTGCAAATATCGGTTTGTTTAGAAGAAATCAGAGAATCGGTCGATCGTTTGGATGTGGAAAGTGCTCCAGGTGCCGACGGTTTTGGAGGCATTTTTTATCGGAAATGTTGGGGAATCATAGCCACGGACTTGAAAGAAGCTTGTGAAGAATTTATGTTGGGTGTTCCTTTGGCTAGGGCATTGGTAGCACTTTGGTAGCTCTGATTCCGAAGAAATCATCCATCAACACATTCTCGGATTTGAGACAAATCAGCTTGTGTACTTCTATAAATAAGATCTTTACAAAAATACTTAGTGAAAGGTTGAAGCGAATTCTTCCAAAGATAATCTCCGAGGAACAATCGGCCTTTTTAGCCGGAAGGGACATATCGGATAATGTGTTGCTAGCTCAAGATCTTTGCCATTTTGTGAACCACAAAACCAAAAGAGATAATCTAATTACTAAGGTGGACATGATGAAGGCATTTGACCAGGTTTCATGGAGCTTTTTACGATAGGTACTAAACAGATTTGGGTTTCCTCTATCATTTATTTCACTGATTTTAGCTAATCTCCAAAGCAGCTGGTTTTCTATTTTGGTGAATGGTAGTCCTGTGGGATTCTTTCAAGCTTCTCGAGGTATAAAGCAAGGCGAGCCTCTTTGTCCGTATTTATTCCTCATTGTGTCGGAGGCATTGTCGCGTCGGTTGAACTTTTTAATGGAAACTCGCAAGATCTCACATTATGTAACTTCGACAGCATCTAAGATAATCTCACACCTCTGTTATGCTGATGACCTCATTGTTTTTACTAAAGGTCTCAAGTTGTCCTTGGAAGAGTTGAACATGTTTCTTGAGAGATATAAAGTAGCCCCGGGACAAAAGATCAATCGGCAAAAAAGTAACTTTTACGTTGCTGAAAGATGTCGCCGGCAAAGAGTGGACTTGATACATAATGTTCTTGGTATGCAGCATGGCAAATTCCCCTTTATCTACCTTGGTTCTTGACTATATTATGGCAGAAAGAAGGTGGATACTTTCCAATATCTTCCTGAAGCGATGGATTCCAAGCTTGCAAACTGGAAGAACAAAATGTTAAGCCAAGGGGGCCGTTTATTGCTCGTCAAGCATGTATTATCAGCGTTGCCGATTCATACTTTTGCAGCCATGGATCCCCCGCAATCTATTGTTAATGCAATGGAAAAAGAAGTGTCAGAAATGTCTTTGGCAAGGAACGGATGAGGTTGTACGACGACATTGGAGGGCTTGGGATAAGATTACTTATCCAACTCTTGAAAATGGTGTCGGTCTACGAAGCTTTAAGGATGTGATAAAGGCTTTCTCTTTGAAGCTCTGGTGGAAAGTTACTAAATAGGAAGGTCTTTGGGCGAGATTTATACTTTCTTTATCGAGGAGTGCCAAAAAGAAAACTTCACGGAATCGAATTGCTAAAATTCGATTGCTGGCTGTTAACAATTCAAAAACGATTGTGCGAGATAGAGGTCAAAACTTCTGGTTTTAGAACTGGACTGATTACGGAGCTATTTGGGAGCTGGAAATGGAAGCTCCGCCTAATCCAAGTCTCAAAATTCGTGAGTTTTTTTTTATCGTAAGATAGAATATCTGCATGCTTTTCAATCTAAGATTCCGGCGCAAAAGTTTGAAATGTTGGCAGCGTTCGAAGTGTCTTTTACGCAGGGGGAGGATCTTGTTGCTTGGAAACCGACTCCTCTGGGGGTTTTTACTATCAAGTCTACATACGAGCTGCTGAGAAAGAAGGGACAAAAGTGTTGCGCCCGGTTCCCCTCCAATTGGGCCGACAAAAAGGAAACAAAACCGAGCCAAATTAGGCTTTGGTTTTGGAGTTAACCGAGGGAAACAACCCATTTTGGATTTGTTTTTTATGATTATAAAAGCAAGGCTCCGCAGAAGCTTTGGAGGTGTGCTTTTGGACGCATGTTTTTCAGCCGAGAGAGAAGGAGAATTAAGGCAGCCGCGCAAGGGTTTTGTACGAGAGAAAAAGAAAGAAAACTAGGGTTTAGTTTTCGGTTTAACTCTGTTTTGGTTAGATCCTTCCGGTCCTACTTTTTGATAGGTGTGTGTGGAAGAGTATTATTGTAATTCACCTTTGGATGAAGTCCTGTGTATCCACCGATTGGTAAAGATTACTTTTGATTATTGTGATAATGGAGATTTGACTGTTGTTACAGTCCCGTGGTTTTTCCCGATTTGGGTTTCTACGTAAATTCGTGTGTCTCCTTTATTTTATCAGTTCTTGATTATTTGCTTGTTTGGTTGTCTTATTTTATTAGTAGTAGGAAAGGAGTTTTTCTTGGGAATCGTTTCCGTTGGTTTGTTGTGTTTATACCCTTTCCGCCACAACAAAAAGGATGCAATTTTTCAGAAAATTTGGCATAAGTTTGTTCCTTTAAGGATTTCTTTCTTCATTTGGAAAGTGAGCAATGGTTTGATTCCTTTTCCAGAAATTTTAAATGCCTTTGGCTTCATTTTTTCTCCTTCCATTTGTATAAGGTGTAGGCAGCAATCAGAGTCAATATATCATTATTTTCTTGGATGTTCAGCCTCAAAAGGAATTTGGGATTACTTTGCGAGATTGTGTGGAGTACCGGATTTTCCAATTGGGAATATGCGTGCTTATCTTCAAAATTGGTGGTCAATGGCTACATATTCTTTGGCGAAAGGAGCTTTGAGGAAGGTTCTTCCAATTTTCATTTTTTGGGAACTTTGGAAAACACGGAATGAGACTTTGCATAACAATATTCGGGTAAGTAACCAGCATATATTAAGGCTGTGATTACACATGTGGAGAAAATGATGATTGTGCTTGCTCCTTTAGTGAAAAATGTTGCAGAGAAAATGTTCATGAAAAATATTTTTCCTTCTGTTAAATTTAAAATGAAACGGAAAGAATGTAAAGTGGTTAGTTGGAAGAAACCGAGAAGTGATGGTTTTGTACTTAATACTGATGGTTCCTCTATTAATATATTGGAAACTGGATATGGTTTCTTAATCCGGGGTGAAGAAGGGTGCTTTGTTTATGGAGAATCAGGTTACTTTGGTGAGAATAATAGTTTGATGGCAGAGATAATGGGGATATATTTTAGAGTACGGAAGTGTGACAGTTTGAATCTTTCTTTTGTTGAGGTCCAAACTGACAATCTTTTGTTAGCTAATATGCTGGCCAAAAAAGAAGCTTCAGTATGGGAATACTTTTTTTAGCTTACAGCTATCCTGGAAATTATGCAACGGAGAGGATATACTATACTTCATGGTTATCGAGAAACAAATGTTGTGGCAGATAGTCTGGCTAGAGTGGCTTCAGCTGGCACCTTGGGGATATTTAGTTGCTTCCATGAACTTCCAAGAGTTGCTAAAGGTCTTTTAAGACTAGATCAGATAGGTACGTCTTATCTGAGGAAAAAATAACTTTCTCAGATTCTAGGCGATTTTGTAATAGAATTTATTTCTCTTCTTTTGTAAGAAAAGGTTAGTTTTGTGCACTGCCCTTTTCTTATCTGGTTATTAATGGAATAAATTTAAGGAGGGACGAGACTAGGAAACTGGATAGTATGTATGTTCATCAGTTGGGTAGATCCCTTGGGTGCATTGTACTATCTGGCACTAGCTGTCTCAAAACATATCTTTTGGGTATACCCCTTCAATTTTTTTGAGGCAGTTGCGACCTAAATATCGTCCTAACCTTCCTTTTTTGTTTAAAAAAAAATAATAAAAAATAAAAAAATAAAAAACTAGATGATTGGCTCGGGAAGCCTGTGTCTTAAAATTGTTAAGTAAAAAAATTATAAATGAAAAAGTATATTTTAGAGTAATAAAATGTATAATATAATATTATAACACATATCACGATAATTTAAAATTTTCTACGTGTAATTAAATAACAATTCTTTTGTTTTATACAATTGTAATCGTATAAAAAATAAAATCTTTTGTTTGTTACCCATAGGTCATATGCCCGTTGGCCAATAACAAATTACAATACTATTGAGATAATATCTTTTGAACTAACAAATAAACATTCGGTGGTAGAACCGTTGGTTATAATATCCTGATTACCATAATAGAGAGCTGATCATCTTTTGCTCGATCCCCTGATATTGATCTCCCGTGATAGCATCATGGAATATCCTTGGTTTTCCCGTTGCTAGGTTTAAGTCAAATTTTAAGGATTGATGTCTTCTTGATTGAGCCAATTGTCTGCTGGAGCAAAAATATTAAGGGATCGCCTTCATTTTCATTGAGCCAATCGTATTACATTGAGAGAAAAAAATAATAATAATTGATTGAGATATTATATATTTGATTGAACCAATTATATGCTGGAGCCAATTTTTATTTAACTATTTTGTATTTACGGATATTAGGGGCGGCATTACTCACAGTAATGTTTCACGTGATTTAAGGAGATTTTTTTACATTTGATTTCATCAACTCAAGTTTCTTGTTTCAAGGGATTAGTATATAGCTATAATTAAGGGATTAGCATGGAGCTATAATTAAAGAATTGATTTTTTTATTTATTCCATCTTTTTTTTAAATAGTTAGAGTGCCACATGTTAAAAATAATTCTTTTCTGAAAATGACTTTTGGCGAAAAAATTTTCATTGTGGTGCTGACACATTAGCAGTTGTATACTGCTTAATTAAGTACTATAGATTTTAAAGTACATCTTTCTATGAATAAAAAATTTGAGAAAGGGGACAACCGCCTCAACCATTGTCATCATCAACATCAGCCCACCGTACCACGTACCTTTTTGTGTCAGCATTGTTTAGTAAAAAAGCAAAATGCTCAACAACTTCCTCTCGATATAAATCACAGTACCTTTCTCTCACACAAAAACCAAACATCTTCTTCAATCCTCCCAAAAACCCAAAAGAACAAACAAAGTGGAAAAAAAACATTTTTTGTTCTTCACTTCTGTTTCAAATTCTGCCATCCTCACAAACAAAACAAAAAAAGAGCCATCGAAAATCAAAATGGCCATAGGAGGGGTAAAACTCGACAAACTCAAATTAGTTATCAAGAAATTTATTCAGTCCTTCAATCTTAAAAAGGCTAGCCATAGCCCAATGGCTGCCGCAAGTAACACTGATGATGAATCCGACAACGACATCGAGGACTCCGTTGCCATCAACGCAGGATTGCATCCCATCTATGTTGGCAATCCTCGGCGCCGGTATCTTGTCTCCTCTGAAGTCATGGAGAGCCCTCTTTTCAAGGAGTTCATGGACCGATCATGCTCAAGCGATGCCAACGATTGCGTTATGATGGGATGCGAGGTTGTTCTATTTGATCATTTGATCTGGATTCTCCAAAATACTGATCCCAAGCCGCAAACTTTGGATGAGCTTGCGAAGTTTTATGCTTGTTAAACAACCTCCATGAAGTAGCAGTTGGTGGCACTTGGCTGGGGACAGAACTTTGTGTCAGAGATTGAATAAAGACAAAGGAAACCAAATTACAAAGTTCATATCTCTTGTTTTTTTTTCTATTCGAAACAAAATGCATTTTGTTTCCATCCTCAACTAATTACATGTATTTTTATCAACCTTTTCATTAAGATGATATGTAAATTTCAGTTGAACAAGTGAGTTTTAGTTTTAATTAAAAAGAAAATTTGATGAACGGTCTTATTTATTTATCTTTTCATCGTTAGAAATGATATTCCATACGTAAAAGGATATTGAATTTGTTTATATCAATTCAAAGTTGAAATATTTGATGGTTGATAATGATTCTCATCAAAACCCTTCACAAAATTTATACTGTTCTGTGAGAATATATCACACGAATTTGCAAATTGCAATTTTAGCTAAGAATAACTATGATGTTGAATGTACAATTTGGTTGCATGTTGTGATTTTCTGGCAATTGCGGCTGTACAATTGACTTCTCTTCTAAAGAGTAAACATGATGATGATACATCAACCAGACTTGAATAAATCTGCCTACCCTTTCTCTTAACTTTCTGATCATCTCCTTCAAGCATCCGAAATCAGAACCATGGTATTTACATCTTCTGTTGCCAGTCTAACAAGTGTGAATAATCAGTGACTTGTGATTCTTATATATTTACTTTTTTATTTTAATATCATATTTGCTCTAATTCATTTATCCGATTTCCACAGTTGGATTCTGCTATGAGCTCCCCTAACTTGTTTCTCTAAGTGGCAACAAAACTAAGTATTTTTATCTTGGGCAGATTAGAAATTCTTGTTTTCCAGGGCGCCTCTTACAAAACTATGTTATACCTTAGTTCAATGTTTGTCTTATTGGTGTTAAAACCATTGCCGTAAATTAATCGGACAAATTCAGTTATTGGAAAATTCTTCATTTTAAAATATCCTTCCAAACTAGTATCCACTCTGTAAAGATTATGTTTTCGATGACGATTGGAGAAAGGATACAAGGACAAGCAGGAAGGGGTTTCTAAAGAATACAAATACACTGAAATTAGCTTGTATGGAAAGATGGTAATTTATCTGATTAGAATAGAGACATTTACTTTTTCCTTTATCTGTAAGTAAAATAGTGAAATCAAGTTTAAGAGCAAAATCCCATATATCTAACCAATAAAATTGACATTTATGACCCAAAAAAAAGTAATTAATGTTACTATCCAATTCGCTCAACTAACGAGAATTAAACAGGAGGGCTTTGCAAGAAATGGTATCGGAAGAATACATCATTGATATATATAGAGAGGGTTGAAAAGCTTGAATATTAAGCAATTGAATAGATTTGATCAGAATTCTTGCAATCCATTTGTTCTGAAAAATGGAAGTAACATGAGCGCAGCTGGGAAGAAGGGTGGATTTTGGGGGTGCTTGACTTTTGGGTAAGCCAAACCCAAAAGTGTGGAACAAAAAATGTGTAGGGTTTTTTTTGTGGACAAATATAATGTTTTCGCGCTTTGAAAACGCGAAACAAGAAAATTGGATTAACAATTCGCGTTTCTGAAACGCGAATCATTTTAATCATCTTTCCAAAAATTCGGTTGAGAGAAGAAATTGAATAAAAAAAGGCTAATCATTTTTCGCGTTTTAGAAACGCAAAAAATTGGATTAACAATTCGCGTTTCTAAAACGCGAATCGTTTTAATCATCTTTCCAAAACTTCCGTTGAGAGAAGAAATTGAAGAAAAAAGGGTAATCCTTTTTCGCGTTTTCAAAACGCGAAAAATTTCTTCTAGCGTTTTGAAATCGCGAAATATCCAGAAAATCTCCTCATCCACTCATTCGGCTCCACGTGTATTTTGATGATAAGTCTTTGAGTGTATTTGCGTTTTGTAAACGCGAAATTTAAGATTTATATACTAAACCAAGCAAAATAACAGCATTTTTCGTTCATTCTGTTCAGGTCCGATTTTAAGATTCTGTGAAAGCTCTCATTTCCTTCAATTTGAGAAATTGCTCCGAAGTTAAAGAAGATTCATTTGAGTCCTGAATCCGTAAAAGCTCTCATTTCCTTCAACATTCAGGTAAGTTAATTTCGTTATAGACAATATGTACTTTTTTATGCCTTATTGTGAGCATAGAATGATTTACGCATTATTATTAGTTAATAAATAATTGTGATTTAGTCAATTAACGGTGATTTTTTAATTAGGCTAATAAAGTGAATTGAAACAAATATTAGTTATTAGAATGTTAAATTAGATTAGCGTTTTGTAATTATTGTATATCGATTTCTGTAAAATAAAATAAAATTATAATAATGATATTGAATTTTTGAATATTTTTAGCATAAGAATAAATTATGTAATTCGGGCATAAGGTTTAGATTTTATATTAATTTTTAGCATAGAAATGAATTTGTAAATTCAGGCGTATAGTTGTTCTTTTGAAATTATTAAATCGCAAAACGGGTAAATCATTTCATCCATGAACTAAAAATCAAAATGTATGCTAGTGTTCGATTTCGTAGGAATTGATTTTGCAGCCGCAAATGTCTTTCACGGAGACAGTTCGTCTGAAATTATCTTGGAATACTACTTATACAATCGAACTCGATGGGACTATCACGGTACAATGGGATGCGCGGACGGTTATCTTATCATTGATCGTATGTTAGATTTCTCGAACTTGTTGATAAGGTATGTGGTGTGATGGAAGTTGATAGAGAAGGGCTGTATATTGATTTTTCTTTGGTATGGACGGAGAGGTCGGGAAAAGGTCTCGTGTGCACATTAATGATGATAATATGTTCGGTTCATTTATCTTTGTCTGATAAATGGCCGAATTGTACCACGAAAATGTTGAGAGAACAGGCCATGTTTATGCAAGTACATCGCCGGGATATTGGTGCCGCACTAGTGGTGGTAGAACAGTTGAAGACAATGAAGATGGAGATGAAGATGGAGATGAAGATGAAGATAAAGATGAAGATGCAGATGAAGATGAAGATGAAGATGGCGGGGGTGTCGAAAGCAGTGATGATGAGTACGTCCCATCGGATGAGGACTCAGATGACGACACTGATTTTGAGTCATCTTCTTCAGTCCCATATGTTTTCGACGACATAAGTGGATGGGACAAGACTTTAGAGGAAGTAGATTGTGATGGGATTAAAATGTGGGATGGCAATCCGTTGACACTAGGCCTTGATATACATTTCGCCAACAAGCCTGAGGCACAAGCGGCAGTGGGAGAATGGAACTTGGTACATGGTCGGACTTTCCGGGTGAAAACGAGCTCTAAACGAACATCGTATGTCGAATGCGAGATGTGTGGACCCAAATATCCGAAAGAGCGTCTTCACGGCTATGATTGTCTGTGGAAGACGCGAGTTTCGCTACAGAAGGCCACCGATACTTGGAAAATGGTGGTATGGTCCGATTCCCACAACTGTCTTGGGGCAAACAAGAGAAACGAGTCCCGAAACGTCACGTCTTCTATGATTGCTAGACTGGTTGCCCAAAATGTGCGAAAACATCCAGATTTTGCAGTTGCCCAAATTCAAATAGAAGTTTTGAAGAAGTACCAAGTCGAATGTAGCTACAAGAAGGCATGGCATGGTAGAAGAAAAGCACTTGAGGCTCTGTATGGTACATGGGAAAGTAATTTTCAACAACTGCCCAGCTTCCTCGATGCATTGTTCATGTCAAACCCGGACACTTGTGTGCAATTCAAGTTTAAGGAAAATTCAGGAAGCTCGCAAAGGTTTGTATGTAGGTATGTTTTCTGGGCATCTGGGTCATCTATACAGTTATTTCATGCTTGCTGGCCAGTAATAACCATCGATGCCACTCACCTGCAAGGATCCTACAAGGGAAAACTAATTGTGGCATGCGTAAAGTGCGCAAATGGCACGATTGTTCCCATCGCATTTGCTCTTGTGGACGAAGAGACTATACACAGCTGGAAATGGTTTTTGAAGTATTTGAAAAAGTTTGTTCTACAGGATAGGAAGACCTGTATTATCTCTGATCGAAATCAGGGTATCCTTACTGCCATGGGCATCATGTTGCAAAAATTCCCAGAGATAGGAGTCCACCGGTATTGTCTAGAGCATGTTAAAGCAAACTTGGTTGGGCATTTTCGAAAGAGAAACTGGGTAGCAACTGTCAAATGATTGGTTCAGCGATGCAAAAGACAAGGTTTTTGGCAGAGTGGCAAAAATTAGAAGAAAAAAATGAGCCTGCTGCTCGTTGGCTTCAAAAGCTGGGTGTTGAGAAATGGACCTGTTTACACGATGGAGGGCATCGTTGGGGAGAAATGACCACTAATATCTCAGAGAGTTTCAATAATGTGCTGAAAGGTGCTAGATTCTTCCCGATCACAACATTGATCCTAGAATCCTTTCAGAAAATCAACAATCTGTTTCAGGCAAACATTGATATGATCCAAAAATGTCAGACTGTTCTACCTCCTAAGCCAATGAAACTGTATGAAGAGGCCCGGAAGAAATCATTGAGGCAAAAGGTCAACCGGTTTAGCAAGAGAAACCAGAAGTACGAAGTGGTTACAATAGCACCCGATAATCAACCATGGAAGGCTGAGGAGAAGCAAGTTGTGCTGTATGCAAATCGAGAGTGCACTTGCGGAAGGTGGCAGACTTTCAGATTTCCTTGTTCCCATGGACTTCAAGTTGCCCATGAGCTAGGTGACGATCCCTTCCCACTTTTTGATCCATGTTACACTACGCATCAATGGTACCAGCAGTTTTCTGGAGAATTCAACCCAATCATGGAACCATGGCCAAAGGCAAAGTGGTAGATCAGGCCAGATGACACTAAACTTGTCCACCATGCTGGCCGAGGTCAGAAGCGTGTGAATCGGAAAAAAGGTGTGATGGATTATACAAGCAAATCTGGCCAGCGAAGACTCCAAACTTGCAGTTTATGTAAGCTACAAGGCCATAATGCCAGGGC